TAATACTACATCCTGCAACAAATAATAAGCTTTACTATATATGTGCGATATCACAGTGCGACATCAAAGTGTATGTATTTAAAAATAAAGTAATATATATTATAAACATATATTACAAATGTATTAAATGTGTATATATATGTACGTATGTGTATATGTATATATATTGTGACGTGGCAGGGCGACTGCAGTTGCACTCGCCCGCCCCATCACCAAAAATTCGTCTCCGCCGCCTGAAATCCGCACTCGGAAACCGACCGAGGAAGCAAGGCAGGAACAAACAGCGAAAAGAAATCAAAAAGCAACGGTTGATACGACCTCCAAGGGCCGGGGCGACGAGAGAGAAGCGTCAACAACAACAACCAACGAAAACAACGACGTGTCCGGTACGACCGCCGGAACAACCGTTAAAGATTAAATATTCGGTTAGTCAAGCGAAACGGCCTCACCGATAGGCCAAGGGGCTACCCCCCCCGTTAGCGGCGACTTCTCTTGATAACGCGGCCCCAGGGTATAAAAGACGCACACCCCCGAGATCGAGAGACAATAGACAATCGCTTTGGAATAGAGAATCGCTTTGGAATCGTCAGTCGTTTTTGAATTGTTTTTGCGAGCGCGAGTGTGAGCGAGTGAGCGACTCAACGGTAGCGAGCGAGTGACAGAGAGAACGGGCGAGAGCAGCGGAGCTGAAGGAGCAGAGAGAGAGAGAGCGAGCGACCAACCCGGTGGAGGACCCGAGTCCGCGGTGCAGCCAGGCGAAGTGCAGAGGCAACCCTGGTGAAGTACCGGCGCTACGCCGTTCTATTTCTCTACAATAATTGTTCATAATATTGCGGTAGAACGTTCCGAGGACGCCGAACGGTGTCTTTTCGCGTGGGACTTGAATAGTCTCGACGATTCGGCCCTCGATTAATTGTTTCGCGAGAGGGCGAATTATTTCAGGCATACCGACGGACGTAATCGGGCGGCCCGAATTACGAACGATTCGCTCTATCCCGCGTTAAGTCGGAGAAATTGATATCGCTCTACCGATCTCCGGATTCACGTAGGCTCAGAGTCGCTCAGCGCTATCGGCTTTAAGATATCTCTCGGACGCTATCGATTTAAAGATTTCGTTCTCGCGAGCTATCGGCGCGCGTCGGACTTATCGGCAAGTGCGACAGCGCGGTATCGTCGATTAATTACGCGGTCGAAGGGAAGTCGCAGGGTGCTGTCGTCCCGGGCTATCGTTTCGTCGCGCTAATTGTGCATCGACAAAAGAAAAGCATTCCTAACCGACCCGAAAAGCGATCGCAAAGTCGCAAGTACGAGAAACGCGTCGAAACAAACTAAAGGCTGTTGACGCGCAACAGCTGATCGAGCGCACGGTCATTGACCCGGCCCTTTGTTTGGCGAACCTCGCGTTGAAAGTGTTTTCGCGTGGCGAGACTAACTCGCATATAGAAAAAGCGGCGCGAGGAATTCACGTGCTCCTCGTGTCACGCGGAAAACCAAGCTGCCGAATACTCTTGGTTAATCCCGCACGGTGATTCCCGTGGGGAATCTTCGGAGCGTTATCGCGGAAATATTCCGCGCACTGTATCTGCAATCATTATCTCTATTGTTTATTTTTCTTTAATACGCTCAAGAATATATTGTTCTATTTAATTTTAATTCTCGCGTNCATTTTATTCTTCCGCGACCTTACTCCATTTTCTACCACCCCGCCCCTCTCCGTTCGGTCCAGAGCTAGTCGGCCCGAATTCATCCCACAAGCCGTCTTAAAAATTGACACGCGGGACGCGTGTCTGGCGCCCACACTAGAACTAATTAACACTGACGAGCTTGTGAATTCGGAGGTATTCCGAGTGTCGAACTCCAGAGGCGGAGCTCCGACGGAGATAGAGCACATCTCCTCCTTTTTCTTGGTGGCGTAGTTGGAAAAATACGTCACAATATATATAATACAATACATAATGTAAAACGAAAACACTGGTATTATAATATTAGTACATATAATACATGTATATACATACATATCTATTACGAATAGTCAACGCAACGATGATCCTGTCTTTACAAAGTGATACCAGCAACTTATTGTGATAAGAGCAACTAATTCCAGTTGCTGTTATCACTTTGTAAAGACATGATTGTCGTTGCGTTGACTCAAATTAACAACTTACTATGATCTTACCTTTAAAAAACAGAACTGATCATACGTAACTCCAGCGATTTGTTATTATATAAGGATTTTGAAAAAGACCGAATACGACGGTCGAAACGTCAATCAAGAATAATGTTAATAGAATACTAAAATACAAAATAATCAACACTACATGAACCGTGTTTATATGCTCTCATTGGTTGATATTCTCTAATTATTTTTGACATTTGGAGCATCCCATACTTTATTCAGAGTTATTATTAAAAACTACACTGGAACTTTAATACCTTTTCTTCTGATTGTTTCCTTCATGATACATCTTGTTTCTCAAAAAAGTACTCTTTTTAAAACTTTTTTCTCATATATTATATGTGTAATGAACACAAATTCTATGTTCATCTACCTGTATTTGTGACTTGAAAAAAGTACCACACACCTTAAAAAGAATAATACATATTACCTTCACTTTAAGAAATCAGTGCATTATATTTTATTACTACATTCGAAAAACGTACTTGGCATTTATAAGGTTATTTAAGATGACGTTTGATATGGCTTTTTAAATGTGCCTTAGTTGTAAAAGCTGTATCGCATATGTCACATTTGTACGGACGCAACAATGAATGAACTGCTTCATGGTTAGTTAAATATTGTTTTGTACTAAAACTTTTATCGCATACCTTAAAAAGAATAAGACACATTGTCATTTTGAAAAGGCAAGACGCAATATATTTGACAAATACAATCGGAAAACGTACTTGACACCTATAAGGTTTTTCACAGGAAGGATGACTGGTAACTTGTTGCTCCATATTTCACTTACGTTGGAAAGTTGTTTTGCACGTGTCACAATCGTATGAACGCAATGATGAAAAAGGACAGTTTTATAAATATTTAAAGCGCATTATTATACATTAGGTATATGATAAATTTAGTGAAAAGTAAACAGACTGCAAGAAAAAAAAAAGATTGAGGATAGACAGAAAGAAAGTGAGAAACAGAGTAAGAAAGAGATTACGTGAGAGAAAACATTAAGTATACTTCAGTGTATATTCAGAGCGTTCGACAATTACTTTAAAGTCTCTCGTAGGTAGATGGAAGTAAACCTGAGTCGAAACGTCTTGAATTAAATTTTTCTATTACATTTAATAAAGGAGTAATTATTGAATAAATCAAGTTAATCAGCGCCGACTTGTAGCTGGGCGGACCTCAGTGAGCCGCGCGACTGGTGTGCGGGAGTGCTCCGCGCGGCTCACTCACGTGCGCCCAACTAAAAGTCGGCGCTAATTGGCGTGATTTATTCAATAAGGACTCTTTAAATATATACTATATATATATATATATATGTAAAAGAAAAAAATGGTTGAGGATTACTTTTCGACTTAGTCTTCTTCCTGCTACCTACCTACAAGAGATTGTAAAGTAATTGTCGAACACTTTGTATATTTTCCTTACTTTGCGCACCGTTTTCTGCTAGTTACGGTAATATCATCAATAGACTGTTATACATTTTTTTGTTTCTCTTGATCTGAGCAAATCTTTATCAATATACGTAAACATTTTAAACTGAAAAGTTTTATACATACATACGTGTGGCGTTTGACAAACAGTGAGCAAGTAATCATATACGGAGAAGATTTCTATGAAGAACACGATGTGTATACGGAAAAGCACAATAGAAAACTAAACGTTGAGCTCGCAGATATGTTATCGCAAACGAAACAAAAACCTAAGACGTAAACACAATCTCGTCCTAGGTATAAATATAAATAGGTAGAAATGTCATTATATTGTGATGTGGTGTGTAGCGAAAGACAGATAATATGTTACATGTAAGTAACGATATGTTGAAGTGACTTTGAAGATTATTTGAAAAAGAAAAAGATAATTACACCTCAACTTTTTTTTTAATTCTACTTTTGCAATGCTTATTTATAAAAAGTCAAATTCAGTCGGCTGTAAATCGAATTTTATTTTCAATTATTGAAATCATTGTACTTCGTTACACATCTATTCTGAATGCCATGCTACTGAAAAAGCAAATAGTTTCTCTGTAAAGAGATCTCGAACATATATATATATTTGGATGATCCAGTAAGCGAATACGATCGGACACTTAAAGAAAAATAGAAAGAAACTGAAACCTAACAGGTTAATCGATTTACGATAAGAAAGTCGGGAGACTTGTGTTAAACACTTCTGAGTTGCGATTAAACAAATTACATAAAAAAAAATGCGTACGTAAAATCGTGTGAAAACTATGAATCGGAATAAAAAATCCTTCTCCAGAAATAAAGGAAATATAGTAAAGAATGGGATAAAGCCTAAAAATTTAAGAAAAACAAAAAAAAGTTTTTAGACTGTTTTTACAGAAACTACATTTTTACTTTATATGCAAAATTGGCCATATAAATCCAAATAAAAATACCTTTATCCCAAACTAGAAACATAGACGAATATTTTGAGTGCTTCAAAAAAGATTTTGAAGCCTTGTAAGACAAGAAAACTGGGAAATACGATTAGTACAATTTTAGCAGAAGCGTCAGAGAGAAACATATGTCTATCCTTGGCTCACTCATGTCATCTATCCTTGTTTTGGTTTGATTCGGTCCCGAGAGATGGCGCCACCTACCCGATAGCGTAGCGGTTGAGTAGCAGCTGAGCGGACTTTTGCCAGCTGTTCAGCATCCTCTTAACGCGCAGCTGCACAAATCAACGCGCGCGAAGATCGCATCTGAAATAGACGTACCTCCGAGATATTCCATCGAACGGAGGAAATCAACGATGATCGAACTAATCTCCTTTGCTATTATCCGAATGGTACGTATTAACGTGGGGAGAAAAGAGTAGCCGAGTTTCCAAAGATCGAATAATAAAGAGTCTCGGATGTCGGGAATGAAACAATAAATTGATGTAATTTCAATTAACCAAATTTCCTCGTACTCGCACATGATAACCAAAAACCAAAAATATTCCAAACTGTGTACTAATAGTGTAAAATTGTGATAAACTTACACGCGATACGCATATATCGACATGTAGAAGTGGTAGTATAGTGCATTTTATCTCGTATCTACAAACAAAAACATTTAAAGAAACTAAAAATTTCGAGAAAATCTTTGTGATATTCTGAAGTGAATCAAAATTATTCTATTTGTGAGAAAACTCAAAAAACTGTTACGATTAAAAGATGTAATTCACTGAGCGAATTTGTGAGACATTGTTAATGAAGGAAAAAAAATTTAACGGATTAAAAAAAAACCTTATTCCACAATGGACTCCATTAGTCAAAATAGGTCAAAATAGGTTAACACGTTGAGCGCCACGTCAGCCGTCGGTGGCTGACACTAGACTTTACGTTTAGGCCACGTCAATCACCGCTGGCTGACAGCGTGTAACATGATATAGAACTATAAAATTTACACTGTTTTATGGAATTACAGAAAATTTAAACGTAAACTATCTTCTACTGCAATAAGAAACATTGGCTCTACAATTTCAGCGCTTCTAAGCGGCGCGCGTGGCCTGACTTCCTTAAAAATCAGCGTGGCGCTCAACGTGTTAAATTCGCTCGCGTGGACGTGCGATTCGAAAGTGTTTGTCGCTAATGACATTTGTTTTGTTTCGATGACGATAAAACTCCGGCGACATTTATCATTTATCTCCATCTGATTACACGTGCGTGTGTGTGCGTATTCTCCGAGGCTGACTCGTAAAAATAAACAACTAGGCGCAGAGTGTGTGCCTATTAAGCCCGTTCTACATTGATCGCAAGCGCAAACGCAAGGAATAGATCTCGTAGAATTGACCAATCACGCTAGTCAATTAGCTGATTCGAGCAATACGATTAGTCAATTCTACCAGACCTGTTCCTTGCGTTTGCGCTTGCAATCAATGTAGAACAGGCTTTAAGTTGATAATACTATATATAACACAAGTAATAATTAACACAAAGCTTTGACATTTATCAAAAATATGGCCTTTGCTACCCTTAAAACGTGTGCAAAATTTCTGACCGAAACATCATATAGTTTGTGAATAGACGCATTTGTTTAACNCAGAGACCCTATTTTTGCACTTAATTATGCCAGCTGTTAACAATGATACAGCAACCAGCATGGTCTAGTT